AGCTGTGTTTCCATAATCTCAGGATATGGAGTTGGCAATTTAGGACTAAGATGGGAAGTTACTTTAAACAGAAGCTATGAATGTTTGGAATTATCTGTCCAAGCAAGCTCTGGTTTCAGTTGTTGATTGACTTCAGGATTAAAACTAATACATTTTTGGATATTGAGGGAATTGGGCAATATGAGTACAAGGCATAAGATTGGAGTTGAGGTATAAGGTCATCTTACTGAATGGTGGCACAGGCCCTCTGTGGCACAATGGTAACATTCCCTATCCCTGGACTGGGAATCCCAGGTTCAAGTCCCACCTGCTCCAGACAGGTGTAATAAGAACGTAAGAAATAGGAGTAGGACATCTGGCCCACCAAGCCTGCTCTGCCATCTAATAAGATCAAGGCTGACCTTTTCGTGATCTCAGCTCCACTTACCCAACTACTCATCATAACCCTTAATTCCTTTACTATTCAAAAATCTATCTTTGCCTTAAAAACATTCAATGAGCCCTAACTGCTTCATTGGGCAGAGAATTCCACAGATTCACAATCGTTTGGGCAGAGAAGCTCTACTTCAACTCAGCCCTATATCTGCTCCCTTTTATTTTGAGGCTATGCCTCCTAGTTCTAGTTTCACTTGCCAGGGGAAACAACCTCCCTGCTTCTATCTATCTAGTCCCTTCATAGTTTTGTGTTTTGATAAGATTCCCCTCGTACTTCTGAATTCCAATGAGTATAGTCGTATAGTCACAGTCTACTCAATCTCTCCTCATAAACCAACCCTCTCAACTCCAGAATCAACCTAGTGAATCTCCTCTGCACCCCCTCCAGTGCCAGTACATCCCTTCTCAAGTAAGGAGACCAAAACTGTACATAGTAATTCAGGTGTGGCCTCACCAGCATCTTATACAACTGCAGCATCACTGAACAGGTTGGTTAGAAAAATAGGTTAATAAAACAAAAATGTTAGGCTTGATTGGACTGAATGGCCTTCAATATATTTCTTATACTGTGAGATAGAATGTGGTCCAGAAGCTAGTGATTGAAAAATGATGCCATGTCAGCCTTTAACAATAGGTTAGGGGTGTTTGAAGATAAAGAGTTGGGAGTGGTTTAAAGGAAATTGGGAACGGAGTGGGTGTGTGGGATGAAGGTTACAATTCATATAGAGGGTCAATCTCAACAGAGTGGTCAAGATTGCATCATAATTTTTGAGGAATTTGGAGTATTTTCCCCCCTTCTAAAGCTGAGTTTTTATATCATTTCAAATTTGAATGAAAAGAATGCCCTGCCCTGTTATCTTGAGGTAGAATTAGAATGAGTGACTATTTAAGAGAGTGATAATTTAAAATTCATTCTCTGTGAGGAAGGGAGGGTAATGTTCATCTAGTAATCCATCCATGTATATTTATTGGCAAGGACTAATCAACCATCATGTGACTTGTTCAGTGAGATAGCAAAATACACCCACACAAAGCAAAGACAAAGAAACAATCACATTCACTGAGACGTAGAAAAGATAGCGAATTGTAAACTATTCTCCAATTGTCTGTACATTTACTTTTTGGCTGTAAATCAAAATATCTTAATGGTGAGCTATTGTCATCTGAATTTCTACACAATTCGTAAAGTTTACTGAGGAAGATAGCTGCACACTTAATGAAGCCCTTCATTTACTCATTGCTCCTTTGTTTTACGATTTGAAATGGCTAGTAGCCACTTTGTGTAGAATTAACCCTGGGATTATACAAAAAATGGACACCTGCATTTATATGGCATCTTGCATGTCTTCAAGATCTCCCAAAGTGCTTTTCAAGCACTGAAATATTTCTGAAGTGTAGTCACTGTTGCAATGTTGGACACTCAGCAAACAATTTGTGCACAGCAAACTCCTACAAACATCCACATAATTATGACCAGACAGTTTGTTTTACTGATATTGTTTGAGGGATTAAGATTGTAAGGGTGAACACCTCTGCTTTTCTTCAAAATAGTGCCATGCACTAAATCATTTACACCTGAGAGGACAAGATGTGGTCCTTGGGTTGATTTCTCTTTCGAAAAATGATATCTCTGGCAGTCCAGCAGCCCTGCAGTATTGCATTACAGTGCCAGCCTGTGAGGCCTGGCGCGGGGCTCATTTTCCACATGGAGTAGGCCCCCAGCAGCAGTATGGCGCAGACTGGTGTAGCTCGGAGCAGGGCGGTATAGCGTGGGCTGGGAAACCCGCAGCAGGACTCTGGCGGTGGTATAGCAGCGAAGAAGGAAACTTGGATTCTCTTTAAGTTATCATTCTTTATTTTATTCTGTCAATGGCGCTTATGTATGAACGATGGTGCACACTTTTCACTGCATTTTACTTTGAATGTACGTGACAATAAAGGATATTCAATATTCAGCCCAGATTATGCAGTAATGTCTCTGGAGCGGGGCTTGAATCCATGACTCTCCAGCAACGAGACGTTCCTACTATCTCTGAGATGTGTGATTGCTACTCACTGACTCCTCTTATGGAATGTCATAAAGCTGTCCTCACTAATAGGCGTTTTACTTCATAGAAATATCTTTTCGTTCAGCTGCAGAACTCCTGAGCATGTCCCTGATTATCCAGTTGTTGAGCTAGATCCCAGATACCTCTGCCCAGCTACCACCCAGTGACTAATGGTGGAATCAGCCAAATACTGATTCTGGAGCGAGGTCAGGCCTGAACAGCTGTCGAACCTGCAAGAGTCTCCTGGAATTAAAGATTAATCTCCACGACACTTCTGTAAGCAACACAGGATAAAAAGGAATCTTAGCAGCCTTATTGTTTTTATTCTCTTTAAACACTATGGTTTATTATCATCTTTAAAAATATTGAACACATACTGACCATGAGGAATCATCCAAGCAGGTAGTAAAAGTCTGTTAATTTTTAAACACATAAAAGTTGGAGTAGTCATGAATTTTTAAAATGTACACTAACAGGCTCTAAAAGTGACCAATTTGAGTCCCTTTCTGTAGTTTGAATACACAAGTGCCTGCTATGGATTCACCTTAGTGGCCTTGTTCCAGTTAATGCTAACAATGTATGTAGCTGCTTCTAATAGATCCCTAATATGATTCACCCCATTGTTTGGTGAATGATAATGACTTCAAGCAATGGCTTTGAACTTGAGGTTTATCATCCTTTTTATCAATGTGGATTCCAAGGGCAGTGTAAATGGTGCAAGGTGTCATTGTTAGTTTCAGTGATGTGGCTGTCTGGGTATTATCACTTCGGTGGCTAATGTCCTTTTATTGGTGTCGTTCTTTAATCACCACCTTCTGTTCAGACCAAAAATCACCAGGTCACTCCAAGACATGCCTATCAGCTACTCCTAGGAAAATCACCCTCTTTTCAGTCTCCGTTTATACAGACAAACATGCCAGTTAGACCCTAAACCCGTGAGATGTAAAGCAAAAGTAAGCCATTCAGCCCATTGAGTCTGCTCCACCATTCATTGAGATCTTGGCTGATCTGATAATCCTCTAAATAAAAACTGAAAGAACTACAGATGCTGTAAATCAGAACTTCTGATTTCTCTCCACAGATGCTGCCAGACTTGCTGAGCTTTTCCAGCAATTTCTCATAATCCTCTACTTTATTTTCTTGCCTTTTCTCCATTGCGCTTGATTCATTCACTGATTACAAATCTATCTCAGCCTTGAATATACTTAATGACCCAACTTCTACAGTCCTCTGCAGTAAAGAATTCGACAGATTCACTATCCTCTGATTGAAGACATTCCTCATCTCTGTCTTAAACATACATCTCTTTACTATGAGATTATGCCCTCTGGTTCTGGTCTCTTCCACAAGGGGAAACAATCTTTCCACATCTACCCTGTCATGCCCCCTAAGAATCTTAAATGTTTCAATCAGGTCAGCTCATACAGAACAGGGGTAAACCATTTGGTCTCTCGAGCTTGCTCTGCCATTTATTAGATCTTGACTGATCTGATTACTTCACATTTCTGCCTGCCCCCCAGTAGCATTTCACTCCTTTGTTTATCAGTCTCTGTTTTAAACAGATTTTAAAGACGCTATTTCCACTGCCTTTTGAAGAAGAGGGTTCCAAAGATTATGAAAAAAACCTGCAACCTTGTCTTACAAAAATCTTGTCTCAGTGACCTCCGCTTTACCACTGCTAAGGCACAGTTCCACACTGGCACTGACTGTGCCAAGTCAGTGTCTTGTCTAGTTACTATATTAGTGCATGCATTGATGATACAAGTGTCAAAAATGGAGGAATTATACTCTGTATGACGTTGATTGAAATGTCAGAAATTCTTTTGCACAGAGGGATGTCGAAATTAGTTGCTAAGTATATTCAAGACAGAAAACCAATTGTTCTTTGTGCACTAATAGAGCAATGTGAGGTGGGAAAGTAGATTTGGTGGAAGAACAGCAATTAACTAATCAAATGGCAGAGCAGGTTTGAGGAGTTATGGTCTGTCATTTACACAGTCATACAATTCTTTATTTGTTCATGAGATGTGGGTGTCACTGGCTAGGCCAACATTTGTTGTCCATCCCTAATTGCCCACAGGGCAGTTAAGAGTCTACCACATTGCTGCAGGCTCGGAGTTACCAGGGAAGGAGAGAAATAAAGGACATTAGTGAACCAGATGGGTTTTTACAACAATTGTCAATGATTACAGATTCACCATTAAGCTTACTCTCTTATTCCAGAATTTTATTGAATTCAAATTTCACCATCTGCTTTGGTGGGATTCAAGCCCCATGTGCCCAGGATATTTGCTTTGGGCTCTAGATTACTTTTTTTTGTTAATTCATGGGGCGAGGGCATCACTGACTAGGTCAGCTTTTATTGTCCTTCCAAACGCCCAGAGGGCAATTAAGAGTCTGGAGTCACATATAGGCCAGACCAGGTAAGGATGGCAATTTCCTTCCCTAAAGGACATTAGTGAACCAGATGGGTTTTTCTGACAATTGACAATGGATTCATGGTCATCACTAGACTCTTAATTCCAGATGTTTTCTGTTGAATTCAAATCCTATCATCTGCCGTGATGGGAATCAAACCTGGGTCACCAGTACACTTCTCCAGTGGTATTACCAGTGCGCTCACACCTCCCCCTGCTGCTACTCCTGTCCCTGATACTCTGGTCTATTCCTGTCGTGTGTGAAGCATAGCAAGCTTGGGAGGAATGAATGACATGGACCTATTGTTCCCAAAAACTTGCACATCATATCTGGGTGTCTTGTAGACTACTCACTAGAGATTGATTACTGTAATTATTCAACAGCCCTATTGGCTATGAGGATGCCTGGTCTAGTCTAAATGCGACTCTAGCAATGTGCCGTCTGAAATTGCCCATCAAGCCACTCAGAGACGGGCCACAAACGCTGGCCTTGCCTGTAATACACATCACCCATCAAAGGATTTGATACAAGACAAATGCCCACTTGGAAAAGTGTCAACAGGAGACTGGTGCATGGGAATTGACATCCCAGGACATGGTAGGCCAAGCTAAAGGAGAGGGAGAGAATCATAAATGAACAAATCAGTAAGTCTGATAAGACAGCAGCTGTAAGGTTTTCAAAAAGACAAAATATTTTGGTGTCATCCCAAAGACTTCTCTTTAATAACAGTCAAGATTTGCACAGCAGCGAGAAAAAGCAGGCCCTCACATCAGAAAATACAATATTAATTTTTTTTTATTTCTTATTTGCTTTAAGTTAAAGCATTTTGGGATGGGTGAAGCATCCTTTACAATTTCTGAAATAGTCTTGAGGTTAAAGACCCTTTTCAATTGGATTGATGGAAGAAAACAATTGTTGCCCAGTTAATGATTTCTAACATCAGAATCATCATCAGTAAAACTGCAGATGTGTGTTTAACAAAATGTTTGTTGATCGCTATATATTCACATGGCCTTTTATCTTGACCTTTCCAGCTTCATTGCATACACAGCAAACTTGCATCATGCTGAGTACATACAGCTTCTGGAATTTTCTACCACCTGCGGTACTCATTGCATGATCCTTCCATATAGCATATTCCAGTGGAAAGTACCATTAAAATGTGATAAATAAAATAATTTGCATTTATCCAGCACCTTCCACAACCTTCAGATTTCCTTCCCTCTAAATAATTCATGAACCAGATGAGTGTTTAATAACAATGATAGTTTCATGATCACCAGCACTAACTTCAATTTGATATATAGAGTCATATAGTCAGACAGCATGAAAAAAAAACCCTTTGGTCCAACTGGTCCACCTTGATCAAGTTTCCCAAACTAAACTAGTCCCACTTCCCTGCATTGGTCCATATCCCTGTAAACCTTTCCCATTTGTGTATCTGTCCAAATGTCTTTAAAATGTTGTAACTGTACCTGCATCTATACTTCCTCTGGCAGCTCATTCCACATATTAACCCAATGTGTGTGAAAATGTTGCTGCTTGGGTCCCTTTTAAATCTTCCCCCTCTCACCTTAAACCTATGCCCTCTAGTTTTGGACTCCCCTACCCTGGGAAAGAGACCTTGTCTATTCACTCTATCCATGCCCCTCATGATTTTATAAACCTCTATAAGGTCACCCCTTGGCCTCCGATGCTCCAGGGAAAATAGCCCCAGCCTATTCAGCCTCTCTTTATAGCTCAAACCCTCCAATCCTGGCAACTTCCTTGTAAATCTTTTCTTAACCCATTTCAAGTTTAACAACATCTTTCCTGTAGGAGGGAGACCAGAATTAAACGCAGTATTCTAAAAGTGGCCTAACCAATGTCCTGAACAGCTGCAACATGACCTTCCAATTCCAATACTCAATGAATGCACTGACCAATGAAGTCAAGCATACCAAAAGTCTTCTTCATCAACCTGTCTACCTGCAACTCCACATTCAAGGAGCTATGCTCCTGCACCCCTAGGTCTGTTTGTTTGGCAATACTCCACCATTAACTGTACATGTCCTGCCCTGGTTTGCTTTACCAAAATGCAACAACTCACATTTATCTAAATTAAACACCATCTGCCACTCCTCGGCCAATTAGCCCATCTTATCAAGGTCCCGTTGTACTCTGAGATAACCTTCTTCAATGTCCATTAAACCAGCAATTTTGGCATCATCTGCAAACTTACTAACCATACCTCCTAGATTCACATCCAAATCATTTATATAAATGACAACAAGCAGGGGATCCAGCACCGATCCTTGGGGCACACTGCTGGTCACAGGCCTCCAGTCTGAAAAACAATCCTCCATTACCACCCTCTGTCTTGTAGCTGGCTAAGCTGCCATTGTTCCTCATTCTTAATTGCTCTGGAGAATTTGGTGTTGAGCTGCCTGCTTGAATCAGACCTTCATGTCAGAGAAAAAAAATAATATGAATGATGCTTTGTTTCTTTTTGCTGTTTTAAGTTAAACATTCCACATGGTTTAGGGACACCCACAGTGCTGCCAGGAAGAGAGTTCCAGAATTTTGACCCAGAGACGATGGAGAAACAACGATAATGTTTCCAAGTCACAAATGACGTGGAGGGAACTTGCAGGCGATGGAGTTCCTATGTATCTACTGCATTTGTCTTTCCAATATTAACAGCATTTTTTCCCTCTCTTCTTTCTTCCCTTCACCCCCCCCATCCCATGACATTGGAGCCAATAACAGTATCATTAGGTGGAAGAGACTCAGCACGATGTTAAACTTATTTCTCTATTTTTGAACCTCAGATTTTGTACCTGGGTACCTTTGTACCTAAGATGGAATGGTGATATTGCACACTTTTCACTGGTACTCCTGTACTTGAGTACATGACAATAAAACATAAATATTGTGCTGCCCAAAACCATTTCTGAAGTTTACAAGGCCAATGCCCATGTCACTACCAGTGTCCTCAGTATCAGCTGACATGGCTCTATCATAGTTCCTGGAAGGTGAATGTGAAATGCTGGCACTTGACAGGATCGATGGCCAAGCAGAGCCAGTTTCTAGAGTATAGAGTCCCCTGGGTTTTGCCTTTAGTTTCAGATTGACTGTGTTTGGGTATCTCACTGGTACCCGAACAGCAATTCATTGAAAAGCAAGAGTGTACTGGTTGTGCCACTGTCATCCAGAGCCCTAGGCTAATGTTCTGGTGATAATCCAACCATGGCAGCTGGTGAAATTTGAATTCAGCAACCGTTTGCATTCATATAGCACCTTTAACAGGACTTTTAAAAAGCCTCAAGGAGCTTCATTGGTAAGCTAAAGCATTGTTTAACACCAGGCCGCATGAGCAAAGGCAATCAATATAATGGTCAAAGAGAGAGGCTCCAATGAATCTTAAAAGACTTTCATCTCCCAGGTGGTGGTGCCAGCATGGCAGGCAATGTTCGGGCTGAGCCTGTCTGCTCCAGGCCACCCGCATTCTTTATCTCTCCCTCTCCCTTTCGACATTTTTCTTTTTCTTTTCTTCATCTTCTTGACATCGCGGGGAGGCCAGATTGGTGTCGGCGGTGACTCCAGGCTCGATGCGTGGATTCCTGGAGTGGTGACATGGCTTTGGCTACAATAGTGGAGCAGGACACTCCTGGCTGCGGTAAGCCCAGAGCGAGGACCCCTGGCTGCGGTAGGCCCAGAGTGAGGACCCCTGGCTGCGGTAGGCCCAGAGTGAGGACCCCTGGCTGCGGTAGGCCCAGATCGAGGACCCCTGGCTGTGGTAGGCCCAGAGCGAGGATGCCTGGCTGCGGTAGGCCCAGATCAAGGAGCCCTGGCTGCAGTAGGCCCAGAGCAAGGACCCCTGGCTGTGGTAGGCCCAGAGCGAGGACCCCTGGCTGCGGTGGGCCTGGAGCAGGGGACCTTGCAGAAGTCCTACAGCTATGTTTGGGACTCTGGCCAATGAAGATGAACTCTATTTAAGTACTTTCTTTTTATTCCTGTGTACCTCAAAATGGTGCTGGCTTATGGTGACCGAACACTTTTCACTGTATAAAAACAAAGTTGCTGGAAAAGCTCGGCAGGTCTGGCAGCATCTGTGAAGGAAGAAACAGAGTTAACGTTCCGGGTCTGTTCCTTCACAGATGCTGCCAGACCTGTTGAGCTTTTCCAGCAACTTTGTTTTTGTTCCTAATTTACAGAATCCACAGTTCTTTAGGTTTTTATTTATTTTTCACTGTATCTCCCTAGATATGTGACAATAAGTAAATTGTTCATTCAAAAAAAGGGTCAGAGACTTAGGGAGGGAATTCCAGAATGAGGTAGATGAAGGTATTGCTACAAATTGTTGAGCAATTAAAGCCAGGGATGCACAAGAAACCAGAATTGGAGGATATAGATATCTCAAAGGGTTCTGGGCCTAGAGGAGATTACAGAGATGGAGAAGAGGGCAAGGCCATCCAGGGATTTGAAAACAAGGCTTAAAATTTTAATTTAAATGCACAAGGGGGTAACTGAGACTTTGTGGGAGTTAGAATAAAGCACATCAGTTAAGTTTCTGCTGTATGCTCACTGGAGATCTATAGTCCAGTACTGACACGTCCCTCCTGACTGGGAAAGATTCCTGGTTCAAAAGCAAACAAATACTGGAAATCACAGTAGATCAGGCAGCATCTGTGGAGAGACAGCAAGCTAAAATTTCAAATTTGATGACTCTTCATCACAGCAGTAATTTGCTCCTAGCCCCTGGTTCAATCCTTGGTCAGGTTACCTCAGTGGAGCAGGAGGATCTTAATCCCAGAGTTCAAGTTTCAAACATCATCAAAAAAAATGGAAACTTTGCAGACAGGCCGATGGGGGAAGACTAAGGGGAGAAGAACTAATTAGTTATCTCCCTCAAACAGCCAGCAGAAGCTGATTGGGCCAAATGGTCTCCTGTGTTGTATATCAATATCAATATCCTTTTATTGTATGAGCTGGGATATTAGAATTGACGTTGGTATGATTGAAGATGGGGAGGATTAGCCAGGGCTTCTGCCCTCGAAGACTATCCTGTGATTCCTGTGTGTGTATCTGGATACTGATGAGGTAATGACTCAACTTGATCATCTTGGTCCATTGCTCAGTAGCTGAACACTGTCTGGTTTCAGGTTTTGGATCTTAACGGAGATGCTCAGCAATCATGGTTCTGTACTGCAGCAAGATAAAACGAAAGAGTATTGATAAAATAGACAGCTACAGACGCCACTGAAATGTTAAAAGAGGCTGATACAATTGAGACATCATGTTAGTCTTTAATCCTGTTCACATTTTTTTCTTAATTTTCTTCCGACAAAGATTTGGTCTAGATGCTTTGTTGTCACTGTTTGCTCTGGACTGACACATTCATTAATCTCATTCTCGCCTTCACATATTCAACCTCCCACCTTGAACATTTCCAAATTAGGAAACTGTCTGTCCTCTTGCACTTCTCTATTTGTGGTCACGCTCAGGACAGTGAGATGCAGAGTCCCAGATTCTCTCATTTCCTCAGTTCAGGTTTAAAACAAGAAGCATGACTAATTACTTTTACAATCAAAACTATCCGCACATTGAACATGTCAGACGATCAGGTTACAGTCAGACAGTTGTAACGATATTAGACTAGTAATCTAGAGGCTGGAATTATTGGTCTAGCAAAAAAAAGAGCAAATTCCCCACTAGGAAGGACAGTCAGCTGGTGAATATTGTAAATAGAATCATAAAATTTTACAGTATAAGAGGAGGTCATTCAACCCAACTGTCTGAACTGGTTCCTGATAGAGCTACCGAGCTAGTCCCACTTTCCAGCTCTCTTTCTCTAGCCCTTGCAATTCATCCTTTTCAAATACATATCCAGCCCCCTTCTGGAAACTGCTTTGGAATCCGCCTCCATTACTCTCCCAAGCAGCACATTCTGAATCCTACAACTCTCTGAGTAGAGAAGTTTCTCCTCACCTCACTCCTAGCTCTCTTGCTTCCAAATGTCACATTTATTTGTTCTACTGTTATGGTTGTTGGGACCTCACACCCCACTTTGCTCTCCCCTCCCAACCTGTATATTGGAGAAAATATGTCCACTTGAACTGACGCTCCATAACATACTGAGAGGGTGGGGGTGGTGCGACAATGTGATATGACTTTGCCCTCTCTGATTTGCAGTGTGAAAGTCAGCCACTTTAGCTTATCTGCTTTTCAAATCTGTGGCAACAGACACTGTAAATTGCAACACTGAAAACTGTCCATTGGTAAACACACAGTAAACATCACTAATTTCATTATCAACTGTATTAATACTTCAAAGGAAAACAACATGTTAATGAGAAATTAGCCCCCGTGCTAATGGAAATGATTCTCCTCACTGTAATAACTAATTAGTCAATAATTAAATCTCAACAGCAGCTTAATTAAGTATAAAAGCCATTGGCTTCTTTCTTCTATTCTGCACGGTCTCATTGCAATTTGCAGTTTATCAGAGAACTGCGCAGCTGTACCCATTGGCAAAGATTGAACAGGCTGGAGTTTGTTCCTTGAGTTGCTTTAGACAGAACAAGGGACTGTAGATATAAGCCAATCACTGATAAATCCAATAGTGTGTTTAGGAGAAACCTTTTTAAAATCCAGAAAATGATTACAATGTAGAACTTTCTGCCATTGGTACCAGATGAAGTAAACGTACAGTGAAAGGCTGTGGTTTAATATTCAAGTACAGTGCAGGGGTCTTATGACTCCCCAAAGAGTTAAATCTTTAGTTAAACCTTCATTTTGCCAGTTAGTGCAATCCAGCTATAATGGAGTTCCAGTTTTTGGACATCTGCTTGGAGTGGACTTCCACTACAGTATCGTTACCTGTAAGGGACAAGTCAGTAACTTTCCCAGGGAGGTGGGACAGTCATGTGTTATGGGTTTTTTTCTTTCGACATAAACATACCCTGCATACACAAGGATTTGGGAACCAATAAGACAGGATCTTATGTGAAGATATGACTACATTTACAAAGAGGCCAAGTTGCAATGATCTTATCAGACTGTAAGCTGCTCTGTCATTAGAGACAGGTGGCTGGTGGTAGTTTAACCTGCTTTGGGTCAGACCTGCCTTTGAAAGGAGAAGAATTCATGTACATTTCCTTCTGCACTTGGTGCTGGTGTGGGAATTGAATCCAATCGTTGATATTACAAACCAGCCATTCAGCCAACTGAGCTAACAGACCCCCCAATGAGGATAAGTATTGTACATGTAGCTTCTACCCTGCTGCTTATTGAATCGTAACAACCATGGGGCTAATCTATCATATTATATCATAACCAGCATCCACATCCTGAAGATCATCAGGCACCACTTCCACCACCTCCAGCAAGATGCCACCACCAGACACATCCCTCCCCTCCCTTGTCCACCTTCCACAGGGACCGTTCCCTCCGGGACACCCTGGTCCACACTTCCTTCCCCCCCCAACACCACCCCACAGCCCCACGGCACCTTCTCCTGTAACCGCTGAAGGTGCAACACCTGCCCATTTACCTCCTCCCTCCCCAGTATCCAAGGGCCCAAACATACCTTCCAGGTGAAGCAACACTTCACCTGCACTTCCCACAATCTAGTCTACTGCATTCGCTGCTCACAATGTAGTCTCCTTTATACTGGGGAAACGAAGTATAGACTGGGTGACTGCTTGGCAGAACATCTACATTCTGCTCGCAAAAGAGACCCTGAACTACCTGTTGCCTGCAACTTTAACGCACCACCCTGCTCCCTGGCCAACAGCTCTGTCTCTGGCTTGCTGCAGTGTTCCAGTGAAGCCCAATGCAAGCTGGAGGAACAGCACCTCATTTTCCGCTTGGGGACGCTGCAGGCCTCTGGACTCAATATTGAGTTCAATAATTTTAGGGCCTAAACTCTCCCATGTCCCAGCCCCCTAGCCCACACACCAGGCCTTGTTACCACATAGCCTGCCACTACACACCCCCTGTTGTTAGTCACTAACAGTCCCCATTAACAACTATTCACCCTCCCAGCCTGATCGTTATCAACTCCTTTGTCTGTCCAACTGTCTTTCTCTCTCTTTGGGCTCTATCCTATCGTTTACTCCGTACCCCACCCACCTCCTTATTTTCTGCATATAAACTGACATTTTCCCAGCCACCATCAGTTCTGAGCAAGTGTCACCGGACCCGAAATGTTAACTCTGCTTCTTCCTTCACAGATGCTGCCAGATCTGCTGAGCTTCTCCAGCAACTTTGTTTTTGTTCTAGCCTATCCAATCCTGCCTCATTGCTGCAATTTTGAAGCCCTAGCAACATTTCTGATCGACAAGGCAAAAAATATTCAAGTGCAGAAGGAAATGCTTATGAATCCTTCTTTCAAAGGCAGGTCTGACCCAAAGCACCACAAGCTTCCTCACGAGGTGCTGGTTCTCAAATTCAGTCCCAGCCAGGAAAAGGATTGAACTCAGACTGTTGACAACATATTGAGCCAACCCCACCTTTCAGAGTTTGTATCGCTATGGCAACATAAAATTTTGAACACATTAAAATCAGGAATAGGAGTAGTAGGCCCTTCAGCCCACTTTGCCATTCAATACCTGTGGTAGATTGGAGATATGGATTGCGGCTGGTAAAGAAGCTTTCCCAGTTCTTGTTGCTGGAAGGCTTTAGAAATTGATACTATATCTGCATATGCATCTTATGTCTGTGCCTTTCTTAACCATCGAGTCCTGGGATGGGACTTGAACCCAGAGCACAGATGCTACACAACCTCCTTACATGAGTACTATTCCCTTTAATTAATGTACCTGTTCAGGCTTAGTAGCTGAGTCCACCTACTTAAAACCTTCAATTCCAATGATTTTTCAGACTGATAAACACTAACCATAACATTTGCACCATACTGCTTGACAGTGTGGTGGAAGCTTGTTCATTGAGGCATTTAGGAGGGGATTAGATTATTATCAGAAAAGGAAGAATGTGCAGGGCTACAGGGAAAAGGCAGGGAATTGGCACTTAGTAAATTGCTCCTTCAGACAGCCAGCAGAGATATGATGGGCTGAATGGCCTCCTGTTGTGTTGTGGTGAATCTGTGATCCAGACGTCTAAGGGCTGAGGTATATGGTAATATTGCCAATCACATCAATCCACAGTCACAATGGAGAGACCAATGCAGCTATTCTAAATATGGATTAACACTAAAATTACACCCATGCTATTGCAGTAAGAGGGGCTAATCTGCCAGATCTCTCACTTCACAGCTTCCTACAATATTTGTTAGCTGGGTTATCCAAGTCTCTGACTTTGTTGGTTAATAGTCTCACTGCCTTATACCCCGAATTGCAGCAAGAGCCGCAAGATGCCTATTGGAGTTCACTCCCGCCACATGTTTATTTCCAAAGTCTCTGAACATGCTGGAGGATTTTCCTGTTGGTTAATGACTGATGCAGCCAACACCTTTCCAACGTCAAGGATGGTCCAGAAGAGAACAAGAAAAAAAACAAAAACCTGCAGATGCTGGGAGTTTGATACAGAAACAGGAATTGCTGGAGAAACTTAGCAGGTCTGGCAGCATCTGTGGAGAGAAAGCTGAGCTAATGTCCAATGACCTTTCATGTGAACTGAGCTTGTGCTCAGGATCTCTGTCTCACTTGGTCACCTCATGCACAGTTATTTTTAAGGATTGCTAAGCTGTTTGTTAGAGGCAAAGCTAAGACCTATTGAAGTTCCCAGTCAAGGTGTAGCATCAAGATGAAGAGATCAACAATATGTTTACCGACTGCCTCACTGAGTCAGCTAACAAACCTTCATCTCCCTGTGTACTGTGGCAATTCAATCCTTTAGACAAATCTCTCAATTACATACTCCATCTCCAGGACGATCAGCGGATCAGCGGCTCGGAAATGAAAGGAGACGCTCTGGGATAAACTTCCCGCTGGAACCAGGTGGCTGAGGAGAAAGAAGTGGACGGGGTAAGAAGTTCTGTGATAGCCTCATGTTCCACAGAGAAGGGGATTTGAGAGGGTGATTCGTGGCCCCATTGAAATGGTGTGAACCGACCCACAGAAGGAAAATGACAAAGAGTTGTAGATATTTGTCTGCCACGTACTGCATGGAAGCAGGGAGGAGATTTAGGTCCTGCCTCAATTCCGACACTTCACTGGGTTTGAGAGGAGAATACACCAGCCTTCAGGTTCAACAGCCAGAAGCAAATGACAATTAAACCCTGAAGTAAGAAGCCTCCAGATGAGCTCTCCTTCACGTGTTGCCACCTCAAGTGTCTATGAGTCTATCAGGTAGAGAGCTTCCACAGCGTCACTGGGTCCATGCGACACTCCGCCAATGACCAAGAGGCGGTTCTTAAAGACGACGCTGGAGCAGGTGCAGCGGGCAGTGGGCATGGGTGGCAGCCGTTCCCACCTGTTCTTGGTTGGGTGCAGGGCCTCGGCTGAGCTCAGAACTGCTGGCTGGTCTCCTGGAAAACAGACAACTGTTAATACAGAGACAGAAGGAACTGCAGATGCTGGAGAATCTGAGATAACAAGGTGTAGAGCTGGATGAACACAGCAGGCCAAGCAGCATCAGAGGAGCAGGAAGGCTGATGTTTCGAGCCTAGACCCTTCTTCAGGAAAAGGGTCTAGGTCCAAAACATCAGCCTTCCTGCTCCTCTGATGCTGC